TGAGGCAGGAGGATCACTTGAGCCCAGGAGTTTGAGGTTGCTGTGAGCTAGGCTGACGCCACGGCACTCTACTCAGGGAAGTAGAGTGAGACTCTGTCTCAAAAAATAAAAGAAAAAGAAAAAAAGTTTTAATGACAGTATGATCTGAGAACTGCAGGAGTCAGTAGTGGCAGCATCCGTGTGTAGGGCAGAATCCCTCACGGGCATCAGCCCCTCATCTATGCTTGACGGGTGGCAGATGATGCAGATGACAGTTTTATTATGACCCAGCAGAATCTCCTTAACAGCTGATTTCCTAATGCAATCATGTTCCTGGGACTGGGAACCAGACCCCGGCGGCTCCTCACGGGGGCTGGGGCAGGGACAGGCGGTCCTCCCACCGCAGGCCAGCTGTCCCTGCAGGTCCCAACAGCCAGCACCTCTCAGGATGTGACCCATTAGAGCCATGGCTCCCCTCCCACTTCCCACTCGTGTTTTCTGTTATTGTAGTTGAATACCTGACGCATACGAAGGACACATTTTACAGAGCATTCATGTCGGATGAACGCCCACGAGCCCGAGGCCCAGCTGAACTGGACACCGGGCAACGTGGCTGCCCGTCCCCACCCGGGCACAGCACCTGTGCCTTGCTATGCCCTCACCTTGTTCTTTCAAACAGTTTTATGCGTTCCTGGAAGGCACCTTTTGCTGGGGCGAGACTTCTGTGTGGACGGGTATTTCCTCCCAGCCTCAGGAGGCACGGCTCCCTGTCCTGCTCCACGCTCCTTCCCTGGGGCCCCCCTCCTGGCTGCTCCCAGGGCCTCCTCCGTCTCTGGCACTCCCCAGCGATACCGCGATTCCACCAGCGGAGCTGCTCACCCCTTGGCTGATTTCCTCCCCAACGTCCCGTCCTCTAAGAGGGTGGCGGCACCCGCTATGGGTATCCTCCCCGCGGCTTTAGAGCCCTTCACGGTGCTGGTGGCTGAGACGCGCTGACCGCCAGCCCCGATCCCGTCTGGGGCCAGCTCCTCGTCTCCACAGCTTGCTCCACCCTGCCCCTGAGTACCCTCAGGACACACCTGGGGACAGAGTAACAGCAGCCTCCTGACGGCCCCACATGGAGGACGCTGCCTGCAAGGGTGCCGGACACCTCCCTGACGCATCTTCTCACGCAGGCCGCTCTGAGCTGGCCACGCTGGGGCTGGCGGTGGCCTGAGGAAGGGACGCTTGGCTCTCAGAGCCCTGGGGGACCTGTGTGTGCGAAGCATGTGTTTGTGGTGGACGGGACACGTGGGGGGTTCGTGGCGCATGTGCACGTGGCGTGTGGTGTGGCAGGTGCTCCCCGCCTGGCTGGTTCTGTTGGCTCTGCTGCCTGTGTTATTAGTTGCTCTGCACAGTTTAAAAATAATCCTATTCCTCAGGGGCTCCAGCCCGTTCTGAAAAAATACCTGCCGGGAGACAGGGAGGAGGGCCAGGTGCTGCGGACGGGCAGAGGCTGGAGGCAAGGGGCTGTCGGGGGTGGCAGCCACGAGCAGGAGACAGTGCCCAGCCAGGATGCCGGGAGGCGGTGGCCAGGGGTGAGGTGGCCTGGAGGCGGAGGGCAGGGAGGGCAGCAGGGGCGGGGCGTGCAGGCAGAGGAGCAGTGTCAGCACAGAGCTGGAAGTGCGGATGCTGGCTGGAGACAGGAAATCCAGCTCCACAGGCGACGAGGTCATGGACTTGGGAAACCTGGCAGAAGAGGTGAGTTGAGCCAGCCTGTGGACGCCAGGCAGGACTGTGGACTTGACCTGGGGTGACCGAGAGCACTCTGCATTTGCGGTGGTGGGGTGAGGGGTATATGTTCAGTGTCTCAATTTTCTCCTCTGTCCCACAGACACTCAGGGTCCCCACCTTGTAGGGGTGCTGGGAACTAGAATAAGTTAATGCACGTGAAGTTCTCAGAACAATGGCTGGCACCCAGTAAATGCTCACTGGAGGTGGCTGCATCGCTATCACCACCACCACCTCCACCTCCACCTCCATCACCTCCACCATCTCCACCACCTCCACCACCACCTCCATCACCACCTCCACCACCTCCATCACCACCTCCACCACCACCTCCATCACCACCTCCACCACCTCCACCACCATCTCCACCACCTCCACCACCACCTCCACCATCTCCATCACCCACACCACTGCCACCTCCAGCCCCACCTCCACTTCCACCACCACCACCTCCACCTCCACCACCACCACCTCCATCACCTCCATCACCACCTCCATCACCTCCACCACCATCTCCATCACCCACACCACTGCCACCTCCACCACCACCTCCACCTCCACCTCCACTTCCACCACCTCCATCACCACCACCACTGCCGCCTCCGCCCCCACCTCCACTTCCACCACCACCATCTCCATCACCTACACCACTGCCACCTCCACCACCTCCACCACCTCCACTTCCACCACCAACACCTCCATCACCACCACCACCACCATCTCCATCAACTCCATCACCACCACCGCCGCCATCACTCTACTGGCATCCTGAGGCTTCCAGATGAAAGCAGCTTTGCCAGGTCTGACCGACCCTAACTGTGAGAGGAAAGCTGGGCTGTGAAGATCCACAGGGCCAGCACTGGCCCTGTCTTTTCCACTGTTGTATCCTGGAACCCCTCCTGATGCCTGGCACCGAGCAGGTGTGAAGAAAAGGCCAGGGCAGGCTCTAGTAATCTGATGGCTACAAGAGCCCCACTTTGGGAGCCAACTGCCTCAGCGCTTCAGCACATGGCTCCTTGGCCCAGCTGCACTCACTTATAAGCCAATGTCTCCTTCGTGGAAAATGTGACAGCTTGTCCCACTCCTAGTGCCCTGCGTTTAAGTATATCTTTGTAAAACCATCAAGAAAACCCTGGCCTCTGCAGGTGGATGGACAGATTAGTACATACACTGGGCACCCAATAAATGCCAAGGGTAGCTACTTCCCTGGTGTCCAACGAGCATACTGTCACCATCATGGCAGTGCAGCCTCAGTCCCAGACTTAAATTCCTTCTTCCCAAAATGCTGGGCAGGGGACCCAGTGTGGGGTGCAGCGCCTCACAGACACCTTTTCTCTTGGGTCCCCAGCTGGGCAGGGTGCTGGGCAGCTGGAGAAGGAGAGAGGGGGTTGGGCCTGATCTCGGAGGCGCCACCGTCCCGACATGCACAGGCACAGCCCTCTCTTATCCTTGAGGCTCTTCCTCACACACCTGGCTGAGCTCCTGCTGTAGAGCAGAGATGCCACTCTCCCCATTCCGTGCTGGGAAAGGGAGGCCCAGAATTCACCTCTCACACTCACCCTGCAACCAGGGCCCAAGTCTCCTGACACCCTAAAGTATCATGCAGCCCGCTGCCATGGGTGTGGAAGGGATCCAGGCTTGGCTGAGTTTTCGGGAAAGGTCAGTAACTGGCTCTGGGGAGCCCTGGGTGCCAGGCTGCACCACGGCACCACCCACACTTCCACACCCACCCAGACCAGCTGCAGCGTCCTGGTCAAGATGATGGACGCTCCTCCCCAAATGTGATTTCCCAGCTGCTGCTGAGTTAATCACTGGCCTTGTTGGCAGTTCCTTCCGGCTTCTATGCAAAGGAAACTGCCAATTAGGTTATAATTAATTTCTTTCCTAGGGCAAGGCCTGGCTGGAAAAGCACTGGCCACCCAAATGGCCTGTCGATGACCGTGTAAGGGTCACCGGGTCCCCTCTGCTCCGGGGCTCTTGAGTTCACAGCCCAGCCAGCTGCACTGTGCAGTGGCCCCAGCCAGGGCAACGGGGCCAAGGCATCATCACTGGCTTTGACCCTGGTGCCTCTGGCTGGGCAACTGTCCCCCATGCACTCAGCAAAGCACAGTGACTCAGAGCACATCCACACACTAATTTAAATGGATCTCGAGCTGAAAGGGTCTTGCCTGTTTCTGCCCCACTCCCAGCGCCTTTCTCATCTGTGTTCAATGTGAACCAAAGAGATTTCTACAGCGCGTCCTTCGTGAGTGGACCTGACCTAAGCATTCCACGTGCATCGTGCCACTTCGGACACCTGTCAGGGGCAGGGACTACCTGGCTTCCTGTCCCACAGAGAGGAAGCTGAGGCAGAGAGAGGCTAAATACCTTGCCCAAGGCCAAACAGAACAAGCAAGGACTTAAGCAGGTGTCTGTCCCAGGCTTCTCTGCTCAGCGACAGCCACGCAGAGAAACTGGGGCACTGTGACCCGGGACCCCTGGGCCACCTGCCCACCTGCTTGCAGCCTCAGGCTAAAAATGCCACCATACATGACCATCCATGGCTTCCCTCAGCCGCCTCTAAGAGGCAGGTGCCCCGAGAAGTTTCCTCACACAGGCTCTTTAACACTTCAGTGAAATGTGAGTGAGGAAGGAGCCGCGAAATGGGGCGAAGGCCCAGAAGACGAGACGCGGCGGGATCGCTCAGGCAGTGCCAGGAGAAGGCACAGTAATGGTCTCGCCTGCTCAGAGGGAGCTGCTGCAGGTGCCCACCCGGTGCTAGAGGCCTCCCTCGCCCGTCCCGGCTGGACATGGGAAAACTGATGCTCGAGGGGTCCTTCTGTCTGCCCGCCGGGGCCTGGTACCACCACGCACTTAAGAAGGGGTGGATGTCGCAAAGTCAGTTATGGAACTGAGAGCTGCCTATCGGTGACATGGGACTTGCACCTGGGTAGGGCAGGGGTCTGGGCAGCCCTGGGGGAGCAGTTCCTATGTGCGGCACCCCTCCAGCTGACGGGGTCAGATGTGTCTCCACGTGCCTGAGGCAGCCTATTGGGCAGAGCTGGGCCCCTCTGGGAATTGCTGCAGCTGTAGGGATGGGGGGAGTGGAAGGCCAGCTGTAGACCCCATGCGTCCTTCTTGTGGCAGGCTGGGAGCAACGGTGGGGGCCCACACGGCAGCCAGGGTCCCCAGGTGGGGCCGCCTTGAGCTCCGGAGCAGAAGCTGGGCTTACAAAAGGCCTACGGGTCTGCTCTGGTGGAGGGTGGAGGGAAGGGAGCCGGGAGCCTCTGAGACAGCAGGCTCTGGCCCTGCACAGACCTGGGGCCTGACCGGTCGTCCGGTCCTGAGGCCCCACAGCACAGCCGGGCAGACCATGTCGCCTGCGTCTAAACGCTGTTGTCCAGTCTGGGGTGCAAAGACCTCAAAGACTTCAACTTCCGGAGTAGAAAGGAATCCAAACCCAAGGCTGGGGTGGCTGTGTGGAGAAGGGGACGACCAGGCTTGTGGTGCCAATTCTTCAACGGATGCCACCCCCACGTGTGACAACTCATGCCTCCCTCAGTGTTCCCGTCTGTAAAAGCAGAGGTTTGCACCCGATGTCAAGGCTCCGCTCAGTTTAAATGCTGACTCCCTTCGACGCACGGGAATTCAGGGAACAAACCCCTGACCAGAGGTCTAGAGGCAGGATGGTGGGCACGATGGAAACTGGGGTGGGCTCTCACCCAGGTGGCCTTCAGGGGATGAGGGGCATTAGGCAGAAACAGGATTAGGACCCCAAGTGTGCCCCTAGGCCACAGATAAGGCGAGAAGACACGAGCCTAGTCCAAAGGAGAGGTTTGGGTTCGACAGGAGGGGCAGAGGGCCCAGCGCACGACCCCACACTGCTTTGCTGTGTGGCCCCAGCTATGAACGGGGACAGGAACGCCTCTCTGGGGGCACAGCGCCTGCCCACAGATGCCAGTTCTCCACCACCACCCCCAGCAACCAATCCGACGTGCTGGCCCCACGAAGGCTTCCCGCCACCCCTGGGTCAAGGCCTTCCGCCCGGCGCTGGCCTCCAGAGCTGCCTGGGCACATGGCTGTCCCAGGAAAACGGCCCCAGGGCCCAGCAGCATGACGTCACACCACTGCAATTATAGTAATCAACTTACCCGCATCTGCCCGGTTATTTTTAGAGTCTGGACTCAGGCTGAGCAACAGAGGGCAGGCCTGGGTTCCATGTTGCCGAGCCCTCCCCTGCTCCCATCCTTCGTGGGGACGTTCCTAGGTGTCCCCTTCTCACACATGAGCAGTGACACCACTGCTGCTGGGATGTTTGCCCTCGAGGTGGCCTCAGAGCCCAGGTCTTCCAAGAACATCCTCCGGTTGACGAGGGTGGTGGTGACTCAGTGCCCACATGGGGACATCAGATGAACCCGCGGCTACCTCACAGGGGACCTGGGGCTTAGGCACCGACAGAGACACCACTGGATGAAGCCACTTCTCAGCAATACTTGGTGGAGATGTGACAGCAAAGTAAACCGTACGACAAGACAGCCACCCGAGTAAACAACGGGCAAAGGACTCGAAGAGAGATTCTCCAAAGAAGACAGACACACAACTGGCCGGTAGGCCCATGAGAAGATGCTAAACATCACTAGTCACGAGGGAAATACAAAACCACAGTGAGATGCCACTTTGTACCCACTAGGATGGGTAGAATTAAAACACTTAACACACGCACATACCAGAAAATAACAAGTGTTGGTGGGGATGTGGGTAAACTGTAACCCTTGTGCACTGCTGATGGGAACGTAAAATGATTCAGCCACTGTGGAAAACAATTTGGCAGTACCTAAAAAAATGAAACATAGAATTATCTAGCAATTTCACTCATAGGTATATACCTAATGGAACTGAAAACAGGTATTTGTAACACGAATATTCATAGCAACATTATTCATCATAGTCAAAAGGTGGAAAACACCCAAGTGCTTCCA